CCCAAACGGTGGCTAATCTTCAAAAAATAGTCGAAGACAAAGAAATGAAAATCGCTCAATTAATGGATAAGTTGGAACAGTCAGAGGTTGGGGAATTTAGCCCGAAGCACGAATCTTACCCGCTTTGTGATGAGAAAGCAAAGCAAGTGAAAGAAGCACAGCCCAAGCCGGACTTTGTGCAAGGCGCCGCTCATTCTTCGATGTCTGTTGCCACACTATATGTTCAACAATTGCAAGAGATGATTGCCAATACCATCAAAGCGCAATATGGCGGACCATCTCAAGTCTCACCCATGTACTCAAAGCCGTAGACTAAGCGGATCGATGCATTGAGGATGCCAGCGGGATACCAACCCCCAAAACTTCAACAATTCTATGGAAAGGGAAACCCCAAGCAGCATATTGCTCATTTCATCGAAACTTGCAACAATGCGGGGACTAACGGCGATCTCTTGGTTAAACAATTCGTAAGATCACTCAAGGGAAATGCTTTTGATTAGTATGTCGATTAGGAACCCGAGTCCATCAACAGTTGGGAAGAGATGGAACATGAGTTCTTGAATCGGTTCTACAGCACGCGTCGTACTGTGAGTATGATCGAGCTTACCAATGCGAAACAGTGGAAAGACGAACCGGTTGTGGATTACATCAACCGTTGGCGTGCACTGAGTCTAAATTGCAAGATAAGCTATCGGAAGTGTTGGCAATTGAAATGTGTATCCAAGGGATGCATTGGGGGCTTCTCTACGTTTTACAGGGGATTAAGCCTCGAAATTTTGAAGAATTGACTACGTGTGCCCATGATATGGAGTTGAGCATTGCGAACCATAAGAGTGCACTCCCGCTAGATGGTCAAAAAGGGGAAAGAAATGATTTTAAGAGAAGCGAAAAATTCTCTAAAACTTCTACCAAGGAGTCAATGGCCATAAAAGCAGTGGGCTTGAAATTCATTCGAAGACAAGACCGGTGAGCATCGAATATCAAACGACAGACGTCGACCCACGTTGAAGGAAATGCAAGAGAAAGAATACCCTTTTCCGGAATCGGACGTCTCCCATATCTTTGATGAGTTGCTGGCAAGGAAATTGATTGACTTGCCGGAACCAAAACGGCCCGAAGAAGTAGGAATGATGGATGACCCAAAGTATTGCAAATATCATCGAGTTGTCGGACATCCCATAGAAAAATGCTTCGTGGTCAAAGAGAAGATCTTGAGACTCGCGAGAGATGGCAAAATAATACTAGATACTGAAGATGTTGCCAACTCGAATGTTACAAGTGTCACTCTACTCTCAAGCGACACATATCCCGCATGGAACACCCAAAAATGCCCGCCTGCACCTGCGAAGAAAGTGTATGCATTTCAATGTGGGAGTTTGGAACCACAATTGGTCCACATCACGTTACCCCGTTCGACCAATCACGCAATCAGTAAGGGCTTTATTTCACGAGAAGGAAGTCATACACGATGAAAACCCCATTTCTGCTATTGAGGATGAGGGAGAATGGATTCTAGTGACACGTCGGCAGAGACAGAGGGGAAGCGTTGACAAACTTCATGTAATGCCATCACGAAACCCACAGCCAATAAAATACATTCACCATGCCAAATCAAACAAAGACTCAAAGATGAGTGATGATGCTTCAAGAAAATCTTACGGAAGTTCGGATCCCAAGCACGTAACTTTGAAAGAATTCTTTCCGGAAGAGTTCTTCCTACAAAAAGTTGAAAGAGCATACGCTAATTCGGATGAGAGCGACAATCAACATTATATGCCTTGTTGTGCTACTATGACTTTCACGGACGACGACTTGTTGTTGGGATCTAAACCTCGCAATCGTCCGCTCTTTGTTTCGGGATTCATACACGAGCAAAAAATTAACCGTATACTCGTAAATGGAGGGTCAGCTGTTAATATCTTACCAAAATCCACCATGGGACAGTTGGGGATTGCTATCGAATATTTGTCTCGCAACCGCCTTACCATTCAAGGATTTAACTAAGAAGGCCAAAGAGCTATTGGGATGGTTCGTTTAGACCTCACAATTGAAGAGCTAGCGGCGAGTACACTATTTCATGTGATTGATACAAGAACCTCTTATCATTTGTTACTAGGAAGACCATGGCTTCACGAAAATGGAATTGTCCCATCTATCCTTCATCAATGCTTCAAATACCTGAGGAATGGAGAAATGATGAAGGTCGATGCTAATGCGAGGCCCTTTACCGAGGCAGAATCACACTTTGCGGATGTCAAATTGTATCTAGAGTCAAACCTGAAGTGCGAAACAGTGATTTCAAAGACGCCGATATGTCAGCCTACTAATGGAAGTTGTTTGGAACTCGTACCGACGAAGATCGGTTGCACAGAGGACGAGAAGGTGGCCACTCCAGTTGAAGCTCCGATGAGCAAAAATGACGGAGCTGTGAGGAAGTTGAGTTTACCAGTGTTTCGTTGCGCTCCCCAGTCACGCCGAGGAAGCCAAATTTTGTTCAGTGAGTGCACCACATTATTTAGGTGCCTTATTAATAGGAATTTTGTAAATAGTGAATAATTATTAAAAAAAACGTGATGGATAGTATAAGGGTAAGATTGAAAATAAATATTTTAGGGGGTTTTCACAAAAAAAGAGTTATGGTATGGACATATCACCATTTTTTATCTATATGAGGGATGTAATGCTAATGCTCCTATAGTTAATTGTGTAATAAGTATAATGAAGTAATGATAAAAAATAGTTTCATAATATAAATCAAATGTCAGTTGTCTTTTCATGTACTATATTATTTATCAAAGGCGGCGGTTATATGCAAGCCCATTTTTTTATTAGTTCAAGACCTCAAACATAAAAATACTAATTTACCCTTAATGAAATTTAAAATCAAATAAAAAACACAAAATATTAAAAACAAAAAAATATTATTTCCTTTGTGCAAAACCAAATAAAATACATCAATCTAGAAACCCCTCTTCCTTATTTCACGGCTTAAAACTCTCCTTCTTCTCCTTCTTCTTCACAAACCCACAAAGAAATCCTACACACCAAAATTATCAAATACATACCAAATATTGACGATGGAACCAGAAAACAATGATATGGTGGTTTACGAGGGTGGAGAACACAATGAAATATGTTTGAACCGTTTATTTTTGCTTTTGGGACGTTTTTTTTTGTTGGTAAAAAAATTCGACGATACCAAAAATCGGTCTGCAAATACCGATTTTTGTTACTAAAGTCGGTAACCACATTCCGATTATTTTAATAAAAATCGGTACTTAAAAACCGATTTTTGTAGTAAAAATCGGCATGACAACACCGATTTATTTTTGTATTATCGGTATTGTCATGCCGACTTATACTACAAAAATCGGTTTTTAAATACCGATTTTATTATCTGTGTTTTTTAAGACCGTTTTCTCATACTTTCGTGCATCAACCTAGGGGATTGATGGAGGATTATTCAAATGAATTATTTAACGAATAAATATTTGAGATACGAAAAGCTCTACTCGATTGGGTTAAAGGAGTGGTAGACGCCACCGAATGGTGATAAACATTTTCGTTTCAAATATTTAAAAAATATCAATTAACCAAATATATAATGTATTATTTAAAAAAAAATTCAAAAAATATCGCTATTCGAAAACCGATTTTGTACTCAATAATCGACATTAGAACGCCGATTTTGACTTGTAAAGTCGACGTTGTGTCGCCGATTTGGTTAACAAAAATCGGTATTATGACGCCGATTTTCGTGTACAAAATCGGTCTGGATAAACCGATTTCGGAAACCAACGAAAAAAAATAAAAAAACCAATTTCAATCTCATTTTTTTTTTCCAAAATCGGCCAAATCATTGCAACCCAACAAGAAATAAGCATAGATTAATGTTCATTCATACATATTTATCAAGAATCGATGTTCGATTAATGTTTTCGAATTTACAAATAAAAATTTAGTAAAAAGGACATCGATGCTCGATTAATGTTTTTGAATTTACAAACAAAAGTTTAGTAAAATGGACTTACTTGTTGGTGGTGGTGCGGTAGTGGTAATGGTGCGGTGAGTGGGTCGCTGGTCATCGCCGGTGCGGTGAAAGTCTCGCTGGTTGGCAGACGTGATATTTTTTTTTTGTTTTTTTTTTTTTGGTCTTGAACAAATAAAAAATAAGATTTATTTGTATTTGAGTATTATTTGTGGATAAGGGTATATTTGTCATCTTTGGTCTTGATGTAATAAAATTAGATTAATTTACGGGCTTGAACTAATAAACTCCTTTATGTGGTTTTGAACTAATAAAAAAATGGACTTGCATATAACCGCCGCCTTTATCAAATGTCAGTTGTCTTTTCTTATTATACTTGTTTCTACATGCTGGACTTTTTTATGAACTTTTACTTTATATATATAACTACATTTATATCACCATTCCATTGATATATATATATATATATATATATATATATATATATGTAAAACAAACAATTTAGATATTCCTTTCATTTGAAGTATTAAAATATAATATAACAAAAAAAAATGGTGAATTGATATTAATTTAATCAATCACAAGATGTGATTTGCAATAGCAAATTCATGTATAATTTAACCAAGATATTTTGAGTGCTAAAAAGAGATGAAATTTGAATCTATTAATTTAATATTTATGAATTAAATTTAATTAATCTCCTAACATATAATAAAATCGAACTCATTGTTTTTTTAATTTTTACACGTCTACAGTGAGTAGCAAGCTGAAAAAAAAAACGAACCGAGCCGTGACCTACTAGACAACGTTGTTTTGCATTGTATATCCATACTTCGGCCTTTCAGCTTTCATTCATCTATCCCTTTCTCTTGCCATTCTATAATCGAACATTACTTCAAGGACAAAGAAGACACTAGACGATTTAGAACGATCGTGCATATTTCAAATGTTCGAATAATCATCAATACAAGTCCCGACGAAAATTTGACGAGAGCAGATAAGGCGATTCCAATTGGGTGTAAATTCACAAAGCAGAGCAGATGGAATTAACTCTTGGAAGAACTGTACTTACTCAAGTTACATTTCCCTGTATAAAAAAATCAAAATGATCTGTGGTCACCTGCATCGAGCAATTATTATACATTGGCCATCCATCGAACGTTGATGGATGGCAAAAAATGCAACCAAAGAATTAACTTATCTACTTCTATCACAATTTTGAACTCATTCTATCAAAATTTCACGATGGTCGATTATAGACTTCTCTAGCAAGCTTTACTATGAACAAATAAAATGGTGTGCCAAGCAAATCGATGTGATATGTGCACATAACTTGAAATTCAAGAACTGCCAGCAACTTCGGCAGCACGTTGCCTCATCATTTCCATTACAGCAGCCCTTCTTCGAGAATCCGACTGCTGCTGCAGCCTTCTTAGATGTTCCTTCAAATCTCTGCACCAAAAATGAGTTTTAAAAAAGAAAAAAAAATCATTAAGAAAACCTCTACGAGAAGAGACTCGAGGGTAAAAGTGGTATTTCAGAACAAACCTGCATCGAGGTACATTGCAATTGGGATCTTTGCACGCTCGAGCATGAATCTGCAAGAGATACCACATCTTCTTGCAGAGAGGACAGCCCGCGGAGGCACGTACTTTGCAAAGCATGCCATGTCTGAAAAGTCCCTTCACCTTACGACAATTTGGATATTGGCAGAGTGAAGAACGACACTGCGAGGCGTGCACCAGAAGATCCAACATTTTCCTCAGCTGCAAGTGTGAAACAGCAATTACGAAATCCGCATTCTTGAGTGCAAACATATAAGATTCTTTTTCGTTCTTTTTCTTTAATTATTTTATTTATAAAGAATGGATGAATGTAGACAGTGAGAAATGCCTGAAAACATACTAAGTTAGTAGTTAGTTACCTGTGTTACTCGTAATTGCCTGGCTTCTTTGTTCTGTGCATCTCGATCATTCGTTGGATGATTTGTTAATTTATGAGGATGGCCAATTCCTCCATCCTTTTGATAACATCCGTTGCATACATCATAGTCAGGGCAAGTCTCACAACGCCAACCTTGTCCCGTTTCTATATCAAGGTGGCAAACATTGCATGTCGTCACAAAAGCCGGGGCAGTAGGATTGTGAAGATGATAAAGAACCATCATTGATGAATGCTTAGCACGTCGAAGGGTGTCATACTGATAATGGTTTCCTTGACAAAGACTAAGAAACGCCTGTCTTGTGTCAAAGAATTCACTCTCCAGAATTTCATCTTTATCTTTCGTGTCATCGGGAACACATGTTATTTCCACCTGCAGCAGCATCACACAAGTTGCTTACTCAAAATTTAAAATATATAAGGAAAGATCAAAAGTGCAAAAAAAAAAGAAAAAACATAATTCAGCCGTATCTGGACTTACGGGATAAAGTGCATGTTTGTCCTTCTGGTTTATAGGATGTCTCTCTCTGTCCTCAAGTCTCCTTTCAGCATCATAACACCTGGCATGAAAACATAGGTTTGATTAGCTTACCTGCAGTAACTAAAGCATGTTACCATTCCTGGAACTGATTGATGAATCTATTCACTCCGGAACAGATGATATTAGTACATGAATTCAGAGAATGTGCTATAACTTCGAAGATATCATTAAATGTATTTGCAAGCAATACATTGTTCTAAATTGAAAAAAAGTCAACTGTAGCCAGAAAGCTCAGGCATAACAAGACAACAGAAAAAAAAAAAAAAAAAAATGCAGTCACAAAATTGCCGCCCGCACTAATCAGGATCCATTTATGAAAAAGTTTCACTTTCAATACTTTACTAAGAAAAAACAATTGCACGTGAGAAGCCGTGCCAGAGTTATTAAATATTAAATAATACGCCTCTCTGATAGCTTGACCGTATAAAATGAAGTGGTCATATTGGATAGCTAGATTAGTCAGCTTGGAAGTCCACAGGTTGTTCTCAGAAAATACCAGACCTACTCGGGTAGGAACAAAAAGAGCATCATCTAAACATAAATAAGATCTGATTTGGTGAAAATATAAATTAGAAAATAGCTATTCTCATAAAACAATCCCCAACCAAAAAACACTTTTTTTTCCCGTAAAAAAACTCACAAGTAAGCACCATCTCAGTAATAAAGATGTGCCATAACTGTAAATTTTACAAAAGTCAGCAGAATCTTACTTGCCACACAGCTGAAAGTTTTTGCACTGTCTGCAAACCCAACGATTCCCAGACACCATCAGAATGCAGCAGTGTGTGCATGCGGGCTGTAAATGAACCATGATAAAGTCTTCCTTCATTGGAGATATTGTCTCACCGAGCTATCAAAAACAAAATACATTTCAGTATCAAGAATGGAAGCAGCAGCAACATTTTTACTTTAATAAGTATTACAAAAAGAACACCATGACGAATGAAAAGATGTAGGACGAAACATAATAACTAGACAAAAGAAATAGGTTATGTTATAAGTTGTAATTGTAGAATAACAAAAAAATAACATTACCACAGCAGATAAATGCGGAAAATAGAGTGATCCCAGTTATAGCACTTTATAAAAAAGAGTATAAAAATAAAGCAAATTACTTTATGCATTAACATGAGATCCTTTGATGCATTGCCAGAAAGATCAGTTTGGCCAGATGCCTTTAGAGCTCTTTTGGTAATGGTTTTTTTCATAGGTCCCTTCTTATTCTGTTTCCTACCATCCTCTTCCTGTTGCAGTTGATGGATCATGTCTTCTGCAGCACCAGGCCAATAATCTCCATCAAAGTATGGCAACCGAGCTGCAGTTACCTTTGCTTTACATTCACCATTAGAAATAAAGAAATGGTCATACAGATTAGTAAGATCTACTACAATATTTTCTTTTGCGGCTTTCCTTAACATGGCCAAATACCTGAAACCAAAGACCAAATTCAAGACAGTGAGATATATTAGCTCACCACTCGTAGTCAACAGTCCCGTAAAAAGACAGCCATCAAACTTACCATTCCCGAAGTTTATCAGATTTTGGTGTCTTCTGAATTTCTGGGTGGCAGTACAAAATGTAGTCTTCTCCCTTTAATGGAGGGCAAGCCCAAATGTAGCAGCTTGTGAAACCACGTTTTTTACAATACTCCAAGTATCCAATCTGAAAAACATAAGAATCAATAAGGTACTCGTAGCACAAGTGGCAACAATAGTTTGCTAGCCAAAACATAGTCAGGCATAAAAGAGTTTGCAAGGGAGCAATGGGTTCAGAGACTTACCAAAATTTCATGGTACACAAACGTCCGAAGAGCCTCTCCTGTCACTGTTCTGACTTCTGGCCTGAAATACTTAACCGAGTCCAAGTAAGAAAGGTAGACTCGGCGATGATTCGGTTGTTGACATTCAGATCCAAATTCTTGAACATACATGCCAAATAGACATACTTCAACACCTTCGATCTTTTGAAATAAAAGTACAACCTGGAAGACAGAAATCAAACTTTAAAGACTTCATAGATGACAAAATAAATGCACACTAACAACTCGAAATTTCCTGTTAACCACATGCTGTCAAACTAATGTAAATAAATATTTCAAGAAACAATTCCGATATCCCTTTGACATTTTTGGTTACTCAGCTCTTCATAAACCATGCCATACCCTCATGGAAACTAGATAATAACAGAAACAATAATACAAAAAATATAATGAAAGGTAAAATTTGGAATCCTGAAAAAGTTCAACTTAGTTTGTCTTAATTGTAGAAACTCTGAAAGAAACTAAAATTGACAGCTTTCCTTTTATACAGCTTTCAAATAAAAAAACAATAAAATATTAACTTAATCAGAATACAACTCCAGTGAAATGTACGAAACAGTATTAATAAACTAAATGAACTGAACCGGATATAAAATTTCTATATTTGGTAGTCTGTAAAACATAATCACGCACACAAGACACACCTTTGACTTATAGGCGTATTCTATAGGATAGTTTTCCTCCTGGAAAATTTCAAGAAACCGTGGTTTCACATCCAACTTTTTGTCCACTGATGACACGACTCTTACAACAAGTGCTTCTGCTCCTGGGACCTGGCAAAATTGCAAAACAATCATATAATTAGAATAATATCAAAGAGGATAATACAATTATGGTGATGGAAAAATGCCAACGCTCTACATCCAATTGTAAGTAAATAACCTGGAAACTTAATCGCATTATTTTGGATTCATAGAGTCAAAATGTTTTCCTTTCTTAAAATGAATATCTGTTTGCTCTGACAATTTTCACGAAATGTTTTCTGATCACATCTTTAAAAAACGCTACTCAATTGTCAAATCCCTTTTTGAAAGAATTTACCTCATTCCCAAAAAAGAAAAAGAAAAAGAAAAAAACAGCTCTATTTAACATTCAGAAATGAGTAGCCATAATATTTTCTCACGAATTGTCTAAATTAAACCGATGAGGTCGGGCGTGGCTCGTCCACATATCAAACTCAATTACTTATGAATCACATTTTCATTTCCACAATGAACATTTATGGAAATATTTGCCCAAACTGGCAACCGCAGTGGCTCCAAAACAGAGTTTCACACTTGCATTAAAATTCAGAATAAGGACTCGAAAAACAGAGTTTCTCATTTGCATTCAATTTCAAAATAATTCTCTGCTGATATATGGAAATTGTTGTCAAAAGTTCCAGCTTCTAAAAAATTGTATGGAAAAAGCCAAGTAATAATATACATTATTTTACAAACTACAAGCTCATAATCCCCAATGATCATATTTAAGAGGTGGAAATCGAACAAGTCATGAAATTCAATAGTTTTTGCAGCTGATATTGAGAAAAATTTGAGAAACTGGACATGTTTAACTACATGTAAGAAGTAATATTGTTGATCAATAAGATACTAGGATCATGTTTGGCCCAGTTTTGGGCCCTTATATTTATTTCGTTATGAGAAAAGATGTTTTTGGAAAAGAATTTCAGAAAGAAAGTAATGTTTGCTTGTATTTTGGGAGGAGACAATCTATATTGTAGCAGTCAAATCATGCCAAAAGGTATTGGGAAAAAGGTATTTTGAGAAAAGATTGAAAGAATTTCAAAACCCGGCCAAACATATAGCCTAGAGGTTGCAAAGTAGGCCATCTTGCAAGTTTCCCATAAAATTTTAGATATATATGCTTTCATAAGCACTCCCCTGACCCATTTGCAATAAATCTCAACATATAAGAAACACATTCAAAGCAAGAATCTCATCTGAACTATCTTTCCAGATTATTGCAAAATGAAAATATATAGCATACTATACATAAGTAAATCGGGTCACCTCATCATAACCTTTGCCTTGAAACCTTGCTCTGTCCTGCCTTTCTTGCTTAAGCTTTGCAAATAATCGCTGCTCGATATGATCACTTAAGATTGTTCTAGGCAAATCCTTCGCTCCTAGAACAGCACTCTGAGGTAATGGCATGCGTTCTCCACTTTCAACTTCTTCCACGTAACAATTTGGACAAGTGTACTCAGCTTGTCCCCCGTCATTTCTTTTACCATTAAATAGTGCACATATTTGATGCTGCCAAGCTTCACACTTGTCACATTGAACCCACTGCATAAGAAAGAAAAAAATCAGTATCTCAATAGGAAATTTATCATGGGCTAAGCAACATTGTTAACTTCATGTGACATACCCATTCTTCAGTTTCCTCGTCATTTTTCTTTTTCTCCATCCTTGCCTTTGCAATAGTTGTTCCATCAACTACGATTGTGTCTCCACGAGCCTCATTATAGCAAGGTATGCAGAAGTAGTGACGAGTTTCACCAGCTCCAATGGTATAATACATAGCATTCCTTTTAATACGAGCACCACAAGGTGTACAATATGTAGGGGGTGGCTCGAAGGCAAGCTTCTCAACTGCACACAATTGGCACGAATTCTCACTCATTGAACGCTCCATTGCTTGATTTTTTTCTGCTTTGGCTTTGCTCTGTGTACAAAACATGAAATCTAAGTTTCAACAGAATGGTGAATCATAAATAAGAACAGACTTCATGGTCATCAATCATCATGCAAGTGAAAGAGAGAAATCAGAAAAAAAAAAAAAAAAAAAAAAAAAACAAGCAAGGGCCACCTATTCAACAAGTCTCCTCTACAAAACCAAACAGTAAGAATTAAAATTGATGAACACAGAAGAAACCAAAAGGAAAAAAGACCTGTTGGTGACAACATTCTAAATCTTTGTATAGAGATGATAGGAGAGCAGCACAAAACTGCAAGGGGGAACTAGACAGTTTTGATACAAAAAGTGATTCCAACCGTTTCCCTCGCTTTAAATCAGTACAACAGATAATGATAACATAATATGCCTCATATCAGGAAACTAAGAGAAAGGAACCCTCTTCTGCATTTTTTAACTCAATCATCTGAAAATAGTATAATATGAAATTTGATCACATTTAATGTAACGTATTCTAGTTATGAAGAAAATGCGTCAGCATTTACAGTATGTAATTAATAGTTAAAATGCAGGGCCAATGGCCAAGAAATGCATATATAAAGCAAATCTGAGCAACTTTAAATCCGAATAAGCATGTAACAACTGGGCCGGGTAAAATAGACAACACAAATGAGTACACGACTGACCTGGCCTACCCACTGTCTAAGACCTGTAATATGCTGTCGGACTTGCTCAGGGGTGAACAACTCTGTCATTGAGACTCCCTTTATATTTGGCTTCCCAGACTTGGATGTATTCTCAGAAGGTAATGGCTGATTTTCCGTCTTAGGCTGCTTCATTTCTCTCTCGCTCTTAATGACCTCCTGCATACCAAATCCAGCAGAGTTGTTTGATGGAGTAGGATCACTGCATGCACCTTCAAAGTTGTCCTTTTTCATTTCAATTATCCTGGAAGTTGATTGTCCAACATTTCCAAGAGCTTCCATTTTAACTTTAGCGGTTTCATATTTCATTGGAATATGAGAGTCAAGATGCTGGTCAGAATGTTGAGCATCCTTTAAAGGAGACTCATTAACAGAAGAAGCCAGTGGAACAGAAGCTTCACTTCCAGAGACAACAGATTGGGAGCCTTGTTCAATTTTCATGCGTTTAATAGAAGGTTGCAAATCTTGAGAAGTTTCAGCTATCGTTGTGCTCGTTTTAGGGGTTGACCTTCCAGTAATTTCAGCAATCTCATGTGTTTTACAAGATCCATTGACAGAACTAGGCAATCCTGAACTGGTATCAAATACAGCAGATGCCTCTGACTGTGCACGTTTCACATAACCCTTAAAAGGGACACAAACAGGACAGCTTACATCACGACAGTCCCTATTATGTTTCATTAATTTTCTAGTATCAGAACAACGAGGATATGCACATTCACGAACACCGCAGCCAAGCTTTATATGTTTCATTAGACTTTGAGCCTTTACGCAGTTAGGGTCTTGGCATTGTCCTTTGGGAGCACCACATCGACGAGCATGATATAAAAATAACAGCCACCTGAGTTGGTTCCTGAACTGCCGTTCACGGTCAAGGTTATTAGATCGACACACACCATTGCTTGTGTTGGGAAGTTCTGCTGATCTAGGAGCATGTGGTTGACCAATCATTGATTCTTCGGATGATAAATTATTTAGTTGAGCTACATCTTGCCCTGTTAATCTATGATGAAATTCATTTTGCAGAGTATGATCATGCAGGAGTCTCGTGTGAGATACACCTTGAGGGTTGGAATGCAACTCCGTGTCAGTTTGATTGCCACCACCGAGATTGCCAAACTCACTTTGAGTATTAGCAACAAATTGTTGCGGATGCAACAACTGTTGCATCTGATCTGAAGTTTGAATGAGTGATGAACTGACATCCCGTGGGCCAGATGGCAGCAACTGAGTAGCTTGAGAAAGATCTTCCATGGAGTTCTGCTGGAATTGACTCTGCATATTGGAAAACTGGAAGGTGTCAGAGACTTGTGAATGCAGTCCTTCATTGTGATGTACTCCCCCATGCCCAGACTTCACCCCAGACACCTGCGATTGACCAAAAGTGTCATTCTTTAACGAAACCTGGTTTTGAGTTTGCTGCCTTTGTTGGACCTGATGCTGGACATGTTGCTGGATCTGAAACGGATGAGAAAGCTGTTGATGAGATTGTACAAGATTTTCTCTAACTGAATACTGTGGTTGAGAATTCATTTTTTCAGATTGATCAATTGATTGAGGTTTCATAGTTGTCACCTGTTGAGTAGGATGTACATTGGCCTGATTACTAATCAAATGAGTATTTGTTTTTGGCATAGATCGCATAGCTACGGCATTCAAGCTCTGATTGTTCATCGTGGACCCAACAGATGATGGAGTGACATAGAGGTTTCCAGACCCTGAAACATCAGCAACAGCACCTCCATATTCATCACCTATTAATAGAATATTTGAAGTGAGATAAAAATTCATAAGCTCCATTGAGACCAAGTTTTTGTAAAATTGCACATGGACGTGTTCTAGTACACAGACACATGCATACAAATAATAATGCTGGTAGTCTTGAAGAGAAATACATTACCCTGCATAACTGGTCGCTGATGTTGGTCAAAGTGTTGATGCAAGGGTCTGGTGGAGTTTCCGTATACTGTTCCCGAAAAATAGCCCTCTGTTGTTCCTGAAGCATTCATAATGGACATATTGTTACCCGTCCTCGCCAAAGCTCCGTTTATGGGCCCATTTGATAATCCATTGGACTTCTGCTGCAATGTAGATCTGATTCCACCACCAGTATTGTGCATGATACGACTGTTTTGACCACCAACCCGCTGCTTCTGCTGCATAGGTAGTGATACAATTGAAGATTCAACAGCTGGAAATGCACCAGCATTATTGGATAATTCCACATCTACGAATGACTTGTTATTAGCATTGCTATGTACGTCATGATTATTAGAACTATTGAATCCAGGAGTAGGGATCATTTGACTTGTTATTCTCTGGACACCCATGGATGTCACCATGTTATCTCCCCCAGAATTGACTGAAAAAGAAGAAGATGGTTGTTGGTATACACTAGCCAAAGCTCCTGAAAACAAAGATTATGTGAGAAAGAGTGAAAGAGCAAGTAAAAATCAATGGAATAGATCAGAAGACTAAAAGTACCATCAGATGAACTAAAAGAACCTCCATGCACATTGCCAGAATACACATTTCTGGCTGGCAATACGTTGCCAGATTTGGCAGTGGAGGAAGCAATTGTACTGGAGAAATTGTTATCCATGGACTGAGCCCCAGCAAGACTAGGATTTCCAGTTTGTTGCAATCCAGGAGTTGGAATCATTGTACCAATAGAAGAAGAAGAAGAATTAGCATGTGAAAACTGCTGGTTGTGATTATTTATCATACGGGACCGTTTCATCAGATGAAGCAATCGCCTTTCCAAAGTTGCCAGGTTTAGATACTCCTCCTGACAAAGAAATCAAATGAAACCACGTAATGTCCCTGATATAAAGTATCCACAAACAAGATTAACACAATCCAAAAGAATAATAATGCTTAGAACTCACAGAAAAGTTTAATCTCAACTAGAAACATGTAAATAAGTTACACACGAGAAGCATATATGTTTAGAAAAGGCAATATCGTGAAGAAGAGAGTGATGTATATAACACACCGTTGTCGTGGCACTCTTGTACAAAGCCTCGTCAAACCGTCGCACTAGGTCGACCATTGTCCTGTTCGTCATTTCCTGAGATTGTTGACGTCGCTGCATAAAATAATTCCAGCTGCAACAGAGCAAAGCTAAAACGTAAGCTATATTCATTATGTAGGCAATCCCAACAAATAGAGTAGCAAGTTTGTGAAATGGTCTCTGACAATTAATCCATGAACAATGGAATCTTTACTAAGGAAAGGTAGAGAAGAAAGAAGCTAAAAACTATTCAAACAAATAGCAATAGAGAGATGTAATATTAGAAAATTCGAACAATATCCATTTCCTCAACCTAAATGAATTTACATAATTTTAGAATGATATATGCACATTCCAATATATCTTTATTCCTAATTGACATGAAATTAGCCATCATGATGCGTAAACGAAATGCTTAAAAACATTTTAGATGTAAAAACAGAATAGGATATCATATCTATGAACACAAGTGAGAACACAAGAAATAGACTCAGACGTCAATACCTTTTGGAAACTCATTATAAACCAGGTGGTCTTCTTAAATTAATTTGCCTACAATGATTCTATCCATCCAAATTTATCATGATCGAGGTATTGACTATTATTACACCTGGCCACCAAAATGCAGCAATTGAGAGGACTAATTTTTCCCATTATGCAGATAAAATGATTGTCCATAAGCTACGATACAAATTACCTGATACCTCAAATAGTGTCAAATAATCATGAAAAGTTGGTGAATTGCAGGTCAAGCATAAGCGGACAAGTCAAACATCCTACTGATGTAACTTTCCGTCTTTCCAACATTTAGTTATGCATACTTTCAAAGAATTAGATGAAAACAAAAACATAAATTCTTTTACAGTCACATAGAAACTACTAGGGACAGTAGTAAACCTGCTGTTACAAGTACATTAGAAACCCGTTGCTTCTTTAAGCACTCATTTCCACAGGAAGTTGCTTTACTATAGTTCTTTTCATAGTTTTTGTTATATAGGAATTAAAACATGCGCCTAACAGATAGGTATAATTTATATATAACAATTGTCACATGAGAATATTTGATGATGCACATAAATAAGAAGAAGGTTTACATCTTTTCTTGCATATAACTTCGTGCTTTCCCATATTCAGAGTCTGTATTCGCGACACCACGATCGATACTCGGATTTTGCATACGGCTCGGTACAAGAGTTCCATTTTGTTGGGGTAGCCCAGGCAAAATGGTACCAGCCTGGTTTGGCACCTGGCCTGATATATGCCCTGAATGGTGGGGTTGGAAACTCATTTTTTGTTTGGGCTAAGAAACATGTCCTGTCATAACATGAACTCAGACATCCACAAATTAAAAGTGATCATAGAAACTAGTTGGATTGGAAGGGGGGTGCTCTACTAGTCAAGTTGCACTTAACCGAACAACAACGCAATCCAAACTCCGCAAAGGGTACCTATTTACAAAGCCCATAAAAATTTAAAGAAGGTCAAATGAGATACATAACTGAAAATATTGTAATAATTGCAAGACTCGTCATCTATGCATTCCTCTTTTCTTCAAAAGATTCAACAAATAAAAAGGATTAATATAACACAACTAACAAGACAAAAGAATTTCATAAAAAGACAACTACAATGAAAAATGTTAGATCAGATTGATGAATCCGAAAGCATTTCCGATAAAATTCTGATTATTTCCCGATAACTCACCACAAAGACATTTCCATTTCCCAAACATTTTAATCCAATTCGCAAAAGCATATCCCCATAATATTTCTCAAAAGTCAGAAAACATCCAAAATAAACTAGATATAGCTATACTTTTCCCTCCTCATACCAAAGAACCATACGATGTTGACGTGGGACGTCCAAATCCAGGAGTGGCTTTAATTTGTGGAAATATTAATCCAAGAAGTGAGATCATTTTCACTAGGTAATACCTACTTATAGTTCACATGTTCCTGTACTAAACATAATGCATCTTCGGGACAGAACTCCAATAATAGTTATAGCCATGATAAATAGGAAGACGGTCATCAGGACATAAAATAGTTCCTAGTTAACTGCTAAGAGTTACCTCCAGCATAGTCTCTCACAAGATTCAAAAGATGGAAATTTTTCAATAAAAAAACAAACTGACAAAATTACCATACAAAGGTATATGATTCCCCAAAACGATAGTAAAATTTCGACTTAAAAGAAAAATGAGCAACTAGTATCACATACTGCTTTCACACAATTAGCTATGATCCATAGCTAGTAATTTCAAATTTCTAATCAGGAAATGGAAAACTTCACAAATCAAATGGACATATCGAGACCAAGTAAAAGCTAAAATAACACTCCAAAAGCCATGGACTGTCCAACAGATAGAATCTATAAACTGCTGATATACGACAAGGGGAAAATAGCTTCTTTACATTAGTTCCAATCCAATTTACATAAATGTACACTCTTAAAACCTCATCTATTGGTCAAGTTACATCAAAACTTGTTTTTTCACTTGACTCTGCGCCTGCAGGGTAGCTGCAAATATTTTTTTGAGAAAACCAACTAGCATTTGATATCATACGCACAAAGTGAGAGTATAAAAGGAAGTTCTTTTCTTTACTACAATCCAAACTTTCCACTGAACCAAAATGCTCAAAGCATTGAATCGCCTAGGATCTTGATCACAAGCAAAAGTCGGCAAATCAACTTGAACACAGTCAATCAAGAAATTTTTTGAGAAGTTTGGAAATACGATAGGGTTTCCCCTAATTGGGCGAAATCGAATTAGGGCATCATTTGAATCAAATAAAAAAATGGATTACATGTTAGGGCTATTGCAATTACAAATTGAATCCCAGAGAAAAAGGTAGAGAAATCAACTAACCCGCATCAATTCAAAGACGGCGACCAAAAAGGAAAGAGCATGGAATAGGAGAGAGAGAGTCTGAACAGTGAAGAGAGAGAAACGAATCGAAGTAATGTTAGGAAGTAAAGCTTCAACGGAACGGCGTCGTATGAAGATCTGGGTGATTATTTGGAGAAGAAAGGGGGCTCGGCTCGCTTAGGTTCTTTGTTTATTTCTGGGGTCTTCTGTAACGTTTTCCTTTTCCGTTTTCTCCTTTTCTTTTTTTTTTTTTTGGCTTTTAATAAATTCGATTAAAATATTGTTAATTAAGGTTGGAAATCGGAGGAATTAACAAATATTTCCTCCCTTCTATTTTATTTGTCTTTCTAAATAATTTTTTTCCTTTCAAAATAATTGTCACTTTTACCATTCCAATGATGTATTTATTGTATTTTCTCAATTATGTCCTTATTATTATTAAGAGAATTAATAGTTAAACATTTAATAAAAATGGTTTTTTAGTTATTTTATTATGATTTTTCTAGAATCCATGCATATTTATTAATTTTCTTAATATCTATAAATTACTAGCAATCGGTTTCACTATTTTTTTAATCTCAAAAAACATTTATTAGTTTTCTTAATATGTGTAAATTACGAACAACCGGTTTCTCTATTTTTCACCAAATTTTATTTTTTGTGGTGAAAAAATAGGTTCATCTTCCACCGCACCACACTATTTTACCCTTCCACTATTTTTATGGAAAAATAGTGTTTTTTGTCTCCTATGGATTTCACCAAATATTAAAATAATAATATTTCACCACTTATAGGAAATGAGATTTGGTTTGGTCTCCCATGGCATTTCACCATATTTATCCCAAAACTGTAAATCTAACGTTTATCGTAATTTTATTATATTTTATTTTCTAAATATTAATTATTGATCCAGCTTTAAGTAATAATTTTTTTTAGTTATATAATTTAAAAATTATGTTATCAATTTTAAAAAACTATCTAAACATGAACTCAAATTATTTTACATATAATAGAATCATACAATAAACAATAATCTCATAAATTATTGCATAAATTCAAATATTACAACATAAATTAATTTAAAATCATAAAAAAAATATATCTCATTCACCATTATTATTATTATCGTCACCATCATAATCTTCAACATTATCAATTTGAGAACGTTTATCCAACAAGTGTGCTACCAGTCTCCTTCTTAATTTATTGTACTTTTCTTGATTTATAGATTTCGATGTCGACTAAAAAAACTAACATATGCCGCATATTTAAAATCTCTCAAAAGCTCAACAGACGGACAATTGAGGTTTGACGTTGGGCTCGGATTTCAAGACGTCTACTAGATAGCCGAAATGTCATTTATGAAAATGAGTTTGACAGCTTTTATGTCGAAGATAATTGGAATCGATGTTTCAGTTTGACTCTCGAATTTGAGGGTTTTGCCATTTGGAAGAGGAGAAACGACTGTTTTTTGGGCATAGTCGATTTGAGCCTGAAATCTGGTCAATCAATCCATTCTTAGAATGATATTAAAATTTTGAATGGTAGGACGATTAGGTCGAAATTGATAGGCTGTGAATAGATTCGGATCAAACAATTGATCACAACTTGGTTTGAGATAATTAATTTCTTCACCGGAGTGAATGCGCATACTATAGTTGTGACTCAATTGACTATGTTTGATTTTAGGGATAATTTGACAAAACTCTCCCATTACACAAGTCTCATTACAATGAGCCCAATTTTATTTTACATTTTAAAATAAATTCAAAACAACTTTTATTAATCAATAACACTTAATTATCACCATTATACCCCTAACTAAGAAATAATGTATATTTAAATTATAATTAAAAGATACATAATATATTTTACATATATTATATACGTATCTCTCTCTTGCACACACACACACACACAACACAGGCGCACACACACTGCCATTATATTTCACAAATTTCTCCATTGTTGTGGGGTCGAAAAAAATAGAGATTCAAATACACAATTAATAAAATAGAGAGATTCAAATACACAATTCAAAAGCACAAGTTTCTCCATTGTTGTGGCGTCAAAAAACAGAGATTAAAACCCGAAGGGCAGGAGCATGCGGAACTATTCAGGGAAACGCCATTAGTACATAAACCAATCTTCTCACAAACGAATGGAAATCGACATGTATCGATAGGCCAAACAAACTCGTGTTTTTGTGCAACCCCTGAGAAGCTACTAATGATAAGTCTCCATTTATCAAGAAGTCAAAATTGTAATTACAAAGTGGTTTTCATTAATTACAAGGTGAATTTTCGCAATGGAATTCGTTAATTATAAAGTGGTTATTCGTTAATTACATAGTGGTTTTCATTAATTATTAAGTGGTTTTTGTTAATTGATAAGTTTTTAGTGAATTTTTGTAATGGAATTTGTTAACTACATAGTGATTTTCGTTAATTACAGAGTGATTTTCATTAATTACAGAGTGGATTACGTTAATATTAATGTGAATTATGCTTATTTTATAGTAACTTTTACTTTAATTTCATAGTGGTTTTCGATAAATTTAGTGGTTTTCAATATGTATGTAGCGGATTTCAATTTTATTTTTAAATATAAACCATTTAAAAAGGTGAAATAAAAAAAATTCATTTTTTTTGTTTTCAATTGATATAAAAAAACTATTTAAAAAAATAAAAAAGATAATAAAATTTAAACCGAAATGGCGTGACATGGAGATAATTGGGGGATTGTGTGGGGAGAAAATAGGGGAATTTGCATATCTACCAAAAATAGTAATGGATTTTTTAAAATAATGTAATATGATAATTTTTAGTAATATTAAATAGGGGCATTTTGGATAATTCCACACATTTAGATTTATAACAAATATCAAATAAAAAAAATGGATTTATCAAGAAGTCAAAATTGAATGAGGGGTGTTTGTCATATAGCCCCTTGATTTTAAGGCTTCTAGTTATATTCTCCGATATAAAAAAGTGGGTAGGCCGAAATCAATTAAGGCATAGACAGATTTGTCCAAAGAGAAGTGAGAATGAAGAATTAGAAAAATAAGAGAGATCCGCCTCTCACATCAAGAGAGAAACCTGTCTAAGAGGCTGTTTGACTAAGCTTATTTTAAACAGATGAAACTCTTACGTCTGATAAGATGTTTTATGAGCTGATAAGCAGTTACATCTTATTTTTAGAATTAATTTTTAGAGTGTTTGGATAATGAATTTTATTTCTTATTTTTACCCAATATAAAATCTTAAATAAAAATGTGGGGTAAATATACTTTTCTAAAAAGATCTTATTTGCTCTTCAACAACTTATTTAAAAAAAATATTTTAAAAAAAAATACCAAACACTTTGAAAGAACTTATAAGCTCTAAAACATCGTATAAGCAAGTTTTTTAAGACATCTTATAAGCTTAGTCAAACAACCTCTAATATCTATATCTATATATAATATAAAAAGAGGATCTATGGCCTCAATGATTGACAAGTGGCAAATGATGATGTCATTTGTCAAAATTGCTTTGTTGGAGTTCAATTGATTAGGTGGATTCTTCAATTGATTAGGTGACATTTTTATTTATGGATGTTTTTTAGTTCTTTCCTATTTTACATTTACACAATCATTTAATAATTACCACATGTATATATATATTATTTTCAAAGTTAATATTTTATAAATTCGAAATAAAAAAATCTTATTTATATTTTCAGTATTTCAAAATATTTTTATTGAAAAAAATTCATGAAACTCAATATTTTTGCGAATATTCAAATAATTTTCATAAAAAAAATGTTTTTTTAAATACTAAAATATTAAAATAAAGGAATATCTTGTTGTTGTTTTTTTTTCAATATTTTAGAATATTCGAATATCCATTCCATTAAAAATAATAATAAAAAGATGTTTTATTTTTTAATTGAACTATTTACTAAATATACACTATTTTTTGTATATAATTTTTATTATACCATATTTCAAATTAAAAATAATTATACTATTTAATAAATATGCAATATTTTGAAATTTGAAAATGTAACAATTTAAATGCAGTATATTTTAAGAAGGAATCTATAATTTACTCCTATGCCACCGAAATATATTTATCATTTGAGATAAATATATTTCCATAACTTTGTAAAGCTTTCTAATTTAAATGCAGTATATTACCCCAATTTTTATATATTTAACAATTTAAATAAAATATCAAATAACCAATACAAAGGAATCTTTAATATTCCAAGATTCTTTCATATCATCTTTGATTGATTTAATTTACACTTTAATTCAAAATTGAATGGTAAAAAATAAAAATCGTATCTTCATATTTAATGTTTTTATATTGCAAGATCTTTTTCCACAAGTTATTTTTTTATTTTTTTTGGGTTGTTTCCTTTATTTGTTTGATTTGATTTCATTTACTAATATATTAATTTTTTGAATTTTGAATTTTTCCATAGAATTAAGTTCATTTTCAATACTATATAAACCCCTCAATGTTCATTTCATTTTTATCTACCACCATTCGATTACAAAGTGCACAATGTTCGTATTATACCGTTTCATATTACATTTTTTTTTTATCATTTCTTATAGATTATTATAAGTATATATGCATAGTTTTATATTCATAATTATTTTTATATATACATATTAGTACTATTTGTATTTCTTTTTCTTGTGTTTTAATTTTAATATTCTTTTTTTAATTGTTTTCATGCAGTTTATTAAATAAAGTCGTTCGTACTTTATGAAGATCAAAAAAATTGTTTGCGCTCAGTCCAAACAATGTGTTCTTTGCAACGCGTATTTTGATCCTAATGTGTTCTTCATATCAATTTATTTATAATATGTTAGCATTTATAAATAATATCGAATTCATTTGTTTTATTTTTTAACAGCGGTAATAAGATTAGATGCATGTTGTGGGAGAAATATGCTGAGCAAGTGATTGAAACTGTACTAGATATTAATGAAGGACCATATATTGCCGTGTTACAATACGCAACCGCGCAAATGCGATATGGTATTCTTCATATTTTTACTTGCTTTAAACATTGTATTGAAAACATGTGTACTATACGTTAGGATTTAATTTAATCATTTTTCAGGTGACATTGAGGTCTCCAATACATTTCATTCTTCCCGGTTTATGATAAATGCAAACATTGACGAAATCAATGACTACAAATCAAGGTTTGTTTAAACATAAATCTCTGTGTATATTTTTTATTTTATATAAATCCACCTTATTAATCCAACCTTGAGTGTTTTTACAGACTCAGCGAGCCAGATAGTTGTCGAGTCGTAAGTCAAATGTCATCAAATTCTTCGTACTCATATGAGGACGACTTTGTTCATAAGTCTGTTAGAAAGACTTTGGATGACTTAAATGAATCGCCTGAGGTATTCCTACTTTGTTTCATAATTTTCTCTGCATATATATAAGTTTCAAACTGCAACTATATATTTTAATGTATTATCGTATTAAATTCTAGATTCTGCAACTATATATTTTAATGTATTATCGTATTAAATTCTAGATTGGCACATGCATTGTATTGGCAAAGATCACAAATTTGGTGAAAAAATCAAATTGGTGGTTTTATAGCTGCCCGAATACGAAGTGTACGAGATCCGTTGAGAAGGATTTGAAGATGTGGTATTGTGTTCATTGTGATAAGAAATATCATTCAGCTAACCCCATTTAAGCACTATTTAATTTTATTTATTTTATAAAAAAAATCAATTTATGTTTGTTAATTACTACTGACATTTAAATATATTAAATTAAAAATTTATTTAGTACTAGGATTTTAAAAATAGCTAACATTACACATCTATTCCAAATTTGTTATAGATTACTATAATCGTGTTAATATATTGTACTATTGCTTATAGGTACAAAATTGAGTTCATTGTCATGGACGACACAAATACCGCAACATTGATAGTATTTGGAAAAGATGCAGACATGATGTTGAATCTTTCTGTTGATGCATTAATTCAGCGTATACACGATAAGGTAAAAGTCAATAAGCGTTCGTGATTTTTTTTAAAGTTCGTAGGTACATTTATTTAAACTTATTTTCCGTTACTAATTAGGGAGAAGATGATTTGGAATATCCAAACGAACTTGATGCTCTGGTTGATAGAATGATGTTGTTCAAACTTAACGTTGTGGAAAAGAATGTACACGATCCAGCAAATTCAACATACCGTATTAAAAAAGTTTGTTTTGATGACTCTGTCATTGCTGCGTTTACGGAACATTATCAATTGAATGAGGTATGTACATTTGATTAATTTGCATTGTTACTTATTGTTTTTTTAATCACTATTTAATGCAATTTTTGTCTTTTATTTACGTAGAATCATAACAACGGTGGACATTCCCCAATTGTAAATGATTATAATGGTGGTCCTATTATATCGTCAAAGGTAGATTAAACATGTTCTCATTCCTTATTCAAAAAGGTCTAGAAAATCGATACGTAGTCAATATGTTTATTAAAAACATTGTCTTTTATGCTAGGATTCCTCTTCATTGTCGGAGAATAATGATTGTGAAGTACTTTATGTTACTCCATCGTCAAAGCGACTGGGAGATAGTGTTCTCGAAAAGGTAGACGACGACGATCCAACACTGCAGCACTCAACCAGTAAATTGATAAAAAAAAAAAATTAAGCTAGAGAAAATGGAGTAGTTTCATTGCTCATACTTAAATTTTTTTTTTTTTTTTCATGTTTGATTTGTTATTTTAGTTTGAACAATATGTTTTTTTTTTCATTCCGGATATTGGAATTTGTTATTTTAGTTTGAACAATATGTTTTTTTTTTCATTCCGGATATTGAAACGTTCTAAGTTTTAATGTTTTGCAAGTGGTGTTTTCATATGTTGGATCATTTAGATTAGAGTATTTTTTATATATTTTACTTTCTCATAATAATGCATATAATTGCGATTGTCACATGTTTTTATACGTAACAATTTTTAGTTTTTTGTTCAATTTGTTATGCACATAATAATGGTCTTTTTTAAAAAAAGATATTTTTTAGTTTTCTTTTCTTTTATTGTTCATGACTCATTTTACCTTTTAATTACTATAAGTTACATGCTATTTTTATTAAAACTAGTAATTGTACCCGTGCGATGCACGGGACAACAAATTACATTGTTTTGATGTTGTAAGAATATAAACAAACGTTTGATGTATCGTATGATCAAAATTCTATTATACTGGAACATTATTAAGTATACTACACACAAAAAAAGGACATAACTTTACTGTTGAATAAGTATCGTATGAATTGAATCAGCTAATACCAGTAGATTGAAAATTTGAACCAGGAAAAAAATCATCAATTATATCTTTCATGTTGAGCTTAAAAGTAATTAGATTTAATAACTAAGTTAACATAATCAAAACTAAACTATCGACAACATACCATCGTAAAAAGCCATCTATACCTCTTGCATCGGAACTAAGCCCTTCTGCACTGCCTCATTTTAAGGCTGTTTTGCCACTGGAATTAACAATTGGAAAATTAAGAAACAATAAATTAAATATCGCATACAAACAATAAGTCTTGAAGGTCGACTTCCAATAGCTTGTGGCTCCGCCCATTTTTGGTTAATTTTCTCAAATCATCCATTTCAATAACATGTCCAATAACATATAAAATGAAATAATTGTTATACATAAAATTTGAAAACTTTGGTATAAATTAATGAAACACATAATTTAACAAAACGAAATTACCTATAAGCCATGATGGAAAAAAATGTAAACTAATTGCCACACAGTCAATAGGATGAAGAAGAATATAAGAAACAAAATCTAAAGTCGGCTTACCAAAAGAAGAAGCCTTAGGTAGGGAAGACATAAAATTCAAATGTTGCGAACATTCTGTAAAACGATGTTACAAAATCCGCTAGGGATGAAAATCAGATTTATTTACCCTTTTCTGTAAAATTGAAAATCAGATTATTATAAATAATATCTAGGAGAATTTGATGAAAATCGATAATAATATTTAAAATAATATTTAGGAGATAAAAATTTGATAAAAAAATCAAAAACTAATATTTAGGAGATAAAAATCTGATAAAAATCGAAAATAAAATTTAAAATAATAGTAAGGAGATAAAAATTTGATAAAAAATCGAAAATAATATTTCAAATAATGTTAATGAGATAAAAGTTGATAAAATATGAAAATAATAATTAGAATAATATTTAGGAGATAAAAATTTGATAAAAATCGAAAATAATGTTTAGGACATAATAATCTGATAATAAACGAAAATAATATTTAGAAGATAAAAAACTAATAAAAACATGATAAAACTCGAAAAAAATATTTAAAATATTATTTAGGAGATATAAATATGATAAAATTCGAAAATAATATTTAGGAGATAAAAATCGGCTAAAAGTTGAAAATTATATTTAAAATTATAGTTAGAAGATATAAATTTGATAAAATCAAAAAATATTATTTATAATAATATTTAGGAGATAAAAATTTGATAAAAATAAAAAATAATATTTAGTAGACAAAAATATGATAAAAAATAAAAAATAATATTTAAAATAATATTTAGGGGATACAAATATGATAAAATTCGAAAATAATATTTAAATTAATATTAAGGGGATAAAAAATTGATAAAAATTGAAAACAATTTACAAATATGACATTAGGGTTTCTTAGGGTTGCCCAGGGGCGAGTCCACCCTTGGGCAAGGGTGGACTCAAGCCCACTCTCATTTTATTATTTTTCCCCCTATATTATACCATATTTCTATTTAGCCCACCCAAATTTTATTTGCTAGCCCACCCAAAATTTCATTTAATGCAAAAGAAGCCCCATATTTTATTAATTAGCATACCAAAAATTTATATTAATACAAAAAAGTCCCAAATTTTATTAATTAGCCCACCCAAATCCAAATTAATACAAAAAAAACTCTAAAATTTGTTTTTTTTCTTTTTTTTTTTTTTCTCGTTTCTCCTTTTCCTATTTTCAAAAAAAATCCTAAAAAAATCTCGGGGGCGCTGCCCCCGAACCCCCGAAAATTGAAGCCCCCCCTGTACTGAAATCCTGGCCTCGCCACTGGGGTTGCCCTAGCGTTTCTTTCTTTTATATATAAGATTTATATTAAATGATTCAAAAGATTTCGAAATTTACATCTATGCAGTTTTAAATAATGTGTATTAAGAAAAAAGACAAGAAAACTTGACGTAGAAGTAAGCGGTGGTTAATTCAACAAATTAACCCCAGTTATTTAAAAAATAGTATTTAATAATGTGTACCATATAGTACTTAATTATATTACCCCCTATTAAATATATTAATTAAATAAAATACTAAATATATTAAAAAAAAATCCAAAATTACGTCACCCATAAGTTACTGCCAAAATTATTCCAAAATTCAACATTATTCCAAAAATTATTAAATAATGTTGGAATTATGAATAAGTTTTTATGATATATATATATATATATATATATATATATATATATATATATATATATATATATATCACCCAATTCAATACCAAGGCAATATTTAATACATATGGAAATATAATCTATAATACATGGTCCATAATATATCACAATATATCATATAACATGAGTAATTTGTAGTATATTATAGAAAAAAAACTATTTTAGTAGTAACAAAATATTTGATAAATCAATCATGATTACATGCCTAAAAAATAAGTTGTGTATGAAAAAATATAAATGTGCATCTAACTAACAAACCTGTATTATGTTTTTATATAGAATTGTCATCACCTGTTAACTTTCGATACCTGAATCACTGATCTTGAGGTAATAAACGTGTCAAACTATTTAAGAGTTTACAATATGTATATGGTGCCATAAGTAATATTTAAATGCGTTGTGTGTTTTCAAACAACAATTATCAATTGTATCTGTTATTTATTATAATTTTTTTTTTTATATTTTGCAAATACATATTTCATATTTTTTTCCTTATAATGCTTCAAATTAATTTTATATTCAATATGTTCGTTCATGCGTTTCAATATTTATAGGTTGTTGCTGTATAATCATGGATAAGAAACGCACTTCTCGAAAACTACTAAAATCGTGTAATCTATATGATGTTCCTATAGGTAAGCCGGGTTTCAAGAATAATACGTTTCCATATTTCACAGTTTGATATCGAGCTATTGTTAAATAAATTATATTTTTATTAATGTTCTTTATGTGTTGAACGGAATTTCAGGTTACTCAATCGAGGAATTTGATGCTAATATTGCACAAAATTCAATGGGTCATGTTACATTTGCGCATACAAGATCACTTCATGATGTGTCTATATGTGAGACGTTTTATTACTCCGAAATATTTTATAAATTGATTTTAACAACAAAAGATATTTCTAATTAGACGTGGTTGTTTTGTCTTCGTTTTTTTTTTCTTTTCATGTACTGCAGCTGAAGTTCAATCAAACAACATGGACGATATAAGGTCTGCATCCGTGAGAAGAAAGCGTGTTTTAAAGGAAAATGAAGTTTCAAGGAAGTTTCATATAAAAGAGAACGATAATGGTACGTAAATTTCGAGCAGATATTTTTTTTATATCCTATAAGTTATATCGTATGAATATTTTATTTTTTTAATAGGTCTTAAGTGTTCAATACAAGATATTGCCAATGTAAAAGGGAAAGGAATTCACCCTGATTCAATAGGCATGCAACGGGAACCGTTTAGTTGGAACTCGAATATTACTCCAACCCCAATGAGCTGTGTTCTGACTGATATATCTATGGTTAGTGTTACACATTAATGACAATAGCATTAACCAAGTATATAAGTATAATGCTATAAATATGTTTAAAAAAACACATTATATGATTTAAAATTAAATTAATAAATCACTAAAATATTTTTCCATTTTTAATGCAGCTCCGACACAAGACGTACTTGATGCCAAATCTTCACGATCGTTGAGGAAAGAATACATTCAAAATAAGAGGACAACTCAAAAAACAAATGGTAAATCATCAATGGATTGTTTTGTTTTGTTTTTCTTCGTTGATGACATATACATGTTTTCTATATAGTATAAAAACGATTTTGGCAGTTACGCTTTACATTTTTCAATTGCAGGTTTTTCAATAGCCTCAACAGATAAGAAACATCAGCAACAACCCAATAGTACAAAAAAATCGTTATATATACCCAATATCTACATATTTACATTTTAATTATAAATTAAGAATTATTTATGTTACTCACATCTTAATTGAATATGTTGTGCAGTTGTTGACTACATTATTAATAACAAGACTTTTCCAAAGTTGAAACGAAAAATGCCAATACATGGTGATTGCAGTGGTATGTTTGACAATTTGTAAATTGTTACAATGAATCCATACGAATATTTATATATACGTATTTATGATATATCGTTGTATGCTAACTAGGTTATACGACTGATTCGGAGAATATTGATCCAAATAGCAGCGGAATTTCAAATAATCCATCAAATACATGGAGCAAATCGCACATAAGGTACAAGACGAATAGGTGATTCTGTTAGTTTTGAATTTACACACATTTGTTTAGTTATGTAAATATGGTCATAAAATAATCATTATTAATTTGTGGTGAAATTATCATAATTTTAGTAATTCCTTACGCATTGGAAAGAGGGTATCAAAGAGTCAGAAAATTATAAATTTTGTGGCCCGTGGTTTGGTGTTGGAATCTACACCAACTATGTTGATTGACGAGGATTTAAGTACAATACAAGATAGTAGTTCAGATAGTGGAGGTAAATATATAATTATAATTTGTCAATACTATCTATCAAAATTGTCGTTGTCATAATATTTTTGTTTTTTTAGATTCGGAATATGTTTCAAATGATGACAACAGCGATGATTCTGCTGATTATGACCGTATGCAGTTTTGCTTTTTAATTCAAATAATTTTTCCACATTAGTCTTTCGTTCACAAATTCTGTTAATTATTTTTATACATTGATAAATTTTCATAGATTACGACGATCTTGGTGATAAAAGTTGCGTTTGTCAATCATGTGGTGCGTTGATGTGGTACGGCGAGAGACTTGCTAGACACTGTGAAACAAAATCGCCAAAATTTTCACTATGTTGCATGAACGATAAAGTCCAGCTGCCCAAATTGAAGGATCCTCCAACTATACTATCAAATCTCTTATTCAGTAGGGATAGACGCAGTAGGAACTTCCAAGATAATATAAGATCGTACAATATGATGTTTTATTTCACCTCTCTGGGGGGCAAAATAAAGACAGCTGTCAACAACAGTCCCGGTCCATACACTTTTGTTTTACATGGTCAAAATTATCATTTGTTGGGTAGTTTATTACCTGAGAAGGGTAACAACTTTATATATTCGACACATAGAATGAAATTCAAAATCGAATTGCTGCTGTAAGGTAAAAAATGCATATCTTTTAATATATATATTTCAGATTCATCATTTGTTATAATGACCACTAATTATTACTCTATTGTATTTCAGATCTGGAAACAATTCTAATAATTTAGATCCGTCAATAGTGTCTTTGATAAAAGATATGATTGATGTATCGAACGTACTTGCTAGGTCATACAGAGTTGCACGCGATCATATTGCTACAGATGGAAATAGAGGTGTAAAATTAAGACTGGTTAAGAGCCGAAGTACTGATGGTCGGACATATAATCTACCAAATGCCAGTGAAATTGCAGCGCTCATTGTTGGCGACTTCGATAACCAGGAGGGTGTAAGGGACATTGTGGTCGAAACGCAGTGTAAGAGGCTTCAGCGCATTAGTGAACTACACCCTCTTTATCTACCGTTACAGTACCCCTTGATTTTTCCTTACGGTGAAGATGGGTATAGAGATGATATTCCTTTGACAGAGTCTTCATCAAATAGTAGCCGGAAACGAAGATGCATGAGCATGAGAGAATGGTTTGCATACATGATGCAAAAAAGGAATGGAGAGAGTCAAGTATTGCTGAACTCGAAAAAACTATATCAGCAGTTTCAAGTTGATGGCTTTTCAATGATAGAATCTCAACGACTGAATTTCATTAGATTTAATCAGGACAAGCTTAGGGTTGACATGTATAAGGGACTTCAGGAAATGATTGTCAAGGGTGACGATGAAGGCACGTCTGCTGGAATGCGCATAGTTCTTCCATCGACATTTACAAACGGTCCCAGATATATGTTTAACAACTTCATGGACGCCCTCCAGATATGCAATTGGATTGGATTTCCATCGCTTTTTATAACAATAACATGCAATCCCATGTGGCCAGAAATACAAAGGGTGTTGAGAGATACGAATCTGCGTCCCGAAGATCGACCTGATATTCTTTGTCGCGTGTTCAAGATGAAACTGGACAGTCTGATCTCAGATTTAAAAAAAGGGCATATTTTCGGACGGATAAGATCATGTAAGTACCACATTCGCAAATAATTATTTAAAACATCATATGACATGAATGTATAAAATTATTATTTTTTTATAAAATATATAATTGTTCCTATCAAACTTTATTATTTTTAATATATTATTTCATTCAATATGCAGACGTCTGCACCATTGAGTTCCAAAAACGTGGTTTGCCACATGCGCACATCCTTCTTTGGTTGCATAATGACGATAAGCCAAAATGTTCGGAAGATATTGATCGAATAATATGTGCCGAAATACCCGATAAGACTTGCGACCGGAAAATGTATAAGTTGGTAAAAAAGTACATGATCCACGGACCGTGCGGGCATGCGAACATGAATTCTCCCTGCATGAAGGATGGTATTTGCACCAAGCGCTTTCCAAAGAGATTTGTGCAACGTACTGAGGCTGACGATGAAGGATACCATTCATATAGAAGAAGGGAAGACGGCCGGACAGTAACGAAGAAGAAAACAATATTGGACAATGGGTATGTCGTTCCTTACAACCGTGCTCTACTGTTGAAATACAGAGCTCACATCAACATTGAGCTCTATAACCAGAACAAATCGATAAAGTGTCTTTTCAAATATGTCAACAAGGGCAATGATCGAGTTACAGCTGCCTTTTATCAGTCACGTAATACCAATGACGGTGAACAAATATGCGATGAGATAAAAATGTACTACGACTGCAGATATATTTCCGACTTATGCTGTTACTTATCTTAATGTTCATTCGTGTATATATTCGTTTATTTCCACAATTTATTTACTTCAACGTGTATTTATTGGATTTTCTTATATATTTTTAAAATATTTTTGCATGTACTTATCTGCATGCGAGGCCAGTTGGAGGTTGTTTGGGTTTGATATTCATTACAGAGACCCCCCCTCCCCGTGATTCGTTTGAGCTTCCACCTACCTGATTGTCAAATGGTTGGGTATCACGAAAATCAACATTTGCAAAACGTAGTCAATAGACCGTCTGCCAAACAAAGTATGTTCTTAGCTTGGTTTGAGGCAAACAAGCGGTTTCCGGAAGCCAGAACAATCAAGTATGCGGATTTCCCACATCACTTCGTTTACTCAAACGAGTCTATGTCATGGGAGCCACGAAATTGTGCGTGAGAGCTCCACTTGCAGCATCAAACAACAAAGTCCTCAAGCAGAGCTGTTGATTGAAGCAAAGCTTATTATATGGGATGAGGCCCCGATGATGCATAGGTTTTGTTTTGAAGCATTACACAGAACCATGCGATCGATTTTGAATTCTGAAAAACCTTTTGGCGGTAAGGTTATCGTACTTGGTGGTGACTTTAGACAGATATTACCTGTTGTACTTAAAGCATCGAGGCAAGACATCGTACATACTACGATCAATTCATCACCATTGTGGAGAGAATGCCGTGTCATGAGGTTGTATAAAAACATGAGGCTTCAGTTGAATGCATCTTCATCTAACGAAGATGAAATAAGGGAATTTGCAGAATGGATTCTGAGAATTGGAAACGGAAAAGCTGGAGACTACAATTGATCAAATGATACGAACCACGCCAACATCGTGACGAGACCTGGTATCAATACTTCGGATTTCAAATCCTGGACCGTCCAAAGAAGGATTCAATGGGGTGGGACCTCGACCCATTGCCTATAAAAAGGCAAGAACCTTGGTATGCGAAGACGCCACAATCAATTGCGGAAGATTGATTGATAAGTCAGGGGTGAACGCCACGGAGATCAACTCCGATAAGTTCATTTAAAAATAACGGTTCTTGAAGAACCGAAGAGACACACTCTTATTCAAAATGATTTCAATACATTGTTGTGTTTATTCATACAAGCTGATCCCTTTATATAGGGTTCAATGCTATCTAATCTATGGAAAGAAACTAAGAACAATAAATTATTATCTATCTAATCAAATCAGACACAAATCAGCCAATATAATTAACATTTATTGAATCTAAATTAAGAAAGCTTTTAAAATCATGGTCTTGATCTTCCAAGGCTGAAATGCACTAATAAAGAGCCTTCCAAACTCCTAAAAACGTGTGCATGTCTTATTGTGTAAATCTTGGACCTTCCAAAGCCTTAAAATATGTGATTGCATCAATTAGAACAATCCAAGATTGATATCTTTGTGGTTAAAGCCTCTCAAATCTGATCTGGACCAATTTGAAATCTGAATCGAAAACCTTTGAAATCGATGATTGCTTGATGTGATTGGGATCACATCAACAATGATGGTGAGGCCTCGATTGAAATTCCTGAGGACATGCTGATTCGAGAATCAGAGGATGCTTTTTCAGAGCTACTGCAGTTTGTGTATCCGGATTTGTTGAATAACATTGCCAATCCTCATTTCTTTCAAGGGAGGGCCATTCTGGGGCCTACAAATGAGAGTGTTATATATGTGAACGATTATCTGTCGTCACTTATTGAAGAAGAGGAAAAGGTTTACCTGAGCTCTGACAGTCTGTGCATGGACGAAGCAGGTTCCGAGATTAATGCAGAAATTTATTCCACTGAATTTCTCAATACAATATCGTGCTCCAGTCTGCCGCCGCATGAGCTAAAATTAAAGAAATGAGTTACGTCCCGTCATGCTCATTAGGAATATCGATCAAGAAAGAGGTTTGTGCAATGGAACTCGTCTCCAAGTTGAAAGACTGGGCATGCATGTAATTAGTTGCAAAGTATTATCCGGTAAGAATGTTGGCGACATGGTATTTATTCCTCGGATGACTTTGATACCTTCGAATTCCACATTGCCAGTTAAATTTCAAAGACGTCAGTATCCGGTGATTATATCATTTGCCATGACAATCAACAAAAGTCAAGGGCAAACTCTCTCACACGTAGGATTGTACCTTCCAAGGCCTGTTTTCAGTCACGGTCAATTGTACGTAGCGTTGTCTCGGGTGAAGAGTAGATCTGGAATAAAGATTTTAATAAAGGGCGAATCCGGTGAGTTGTCCAGTGTTACTAGCAACGTCGTGTACAAAGAAGTATTCGAAATAATATAAAGGTACACATTGGCAAACACATATATTAGTTTTATTTATGTTTAACGTTGTTTTTTTCAATATGCTCATATATATATATATATATATATATATATATATATATATATATATATATATATATATATAAGTATTCGTTATCTACGTAACGTCTTTAATTTATATATTGAAAATGTGGAAAAATAACAAGTTATTTGTTCTCCTATCGTATATCTGATATTGTAGTTTCATTGTCTCCTTTAACAACAATCAGATTCATGTGCAAGACTGGTGCGATGCTTTGATTTCAGTATGGGAGTTACTTGCTACATTTTAACGTGGATGATTTTTAGAATGTTGTTAGTTTATTCTATATGCAGATGTTTTATTGATTGATTAAGATACGGATTTTTATTTTTTTGTTCGGTTGTATTCTTAGCATTCTCGACATAATTTTTCTTCGTTAATTTTATACATTAACTCATTTTAATGTTTTTAATTCATCCCCGTGCATCGCACGGGTGAGTTACTAGTATAATATAAAAAGAGGATCTATGCCCTATATGAATGATATGTGCAAATGTCTATGTCATTTATCAAAATTGCTTAGTTGGAGTTCAATTGATGAGGTGGATTCTTCAATTGGTGAGTTGTCAATTTTATTTTGGTATGTATTTAAGTTCTTTCCTATTTAACATTTGTACACTTAATTAAACAATTACCACGTGTATATATATTATTTCCAAATTTAATATTTTATAAATTCGAAATAAAAATATCTTATTTATATTTTTAGTATTTCAAAATATATTTATTGAAAAAAAATCATGATACTCAATTTTTTTACGAATATTCAAATAGTTTTCAGAAAAAAAATATTTTTTTAATACTCAAATATTAAAATAAAGGAATACATTTTTTTTTCAATATTTTGGAATATTCGAATATCCATTCAATTAAAAATAATTATATAAAAATGTTTTATTTTTGTAATTGTACTATTTAATAAATATACAATATTTTTTGTATATAATTTCTATTATACCGTGTATATATATATATATATATATATATATATATATATATATATATATATATATATATATATATATATATATATATATATATATATATATATATATATATATATATATATATATATATATATATTGTTTTTTTCTCTCACACGTGAAATCTGTAAGATTGGGGGAGTATATATATGTGC